GTCGTTCTATTCAGAGTCTCGCCACTCATCTGCAACCGATGAAGCTGATTCCATTAACTCATTCCAGACGAGCGCGGCCTAGATAGGCCTTTTTCACGGTGTAGAAGGGGATTTCCACTGCTCAATCATGAGCACTGAACCCTTAGGGATCGCGGATCCTGACAGACAGTTGAGGCCTAACTGGCGCATGGTGGCTCTGGGTCCCAAAAGATACCAGGAGTCCAGGGGGAGATGAGTCGGAGGCCGAACACAACGAGTGACTCTTAATGGTGTAGCGGAGGCCCAATCAATCCTGTTTTAAAGCAGAAGGGAGACCCTCAACTCGCTGGTGCGGAAGGAAGGAGACATATTCTCATTCGGGACGAATGAGTCTTAAGGAGGGGGTAATGTTACGGTTATTCTTTTCTTTTTCTTTTTCTTTCCTTTTCTTTTCTTTTCTTTTCTTACTCAGCCGGATTACGTGTAGGCGATCATCACGGACTGACTCTCACGGTACTATTTTTAGTGTACCAACGTGTATTTAAGTAGAGCCTCAGCTGGCCTGAACCCCAGCTTCGGCTAAGGTTAATTCTACCTAACATCGAACTCCGTCCTTCGTGACTATTTGTCCCATCGACTTACCTCGCCTTTGACTTGCTAAAGCGTCGCCTACCGAAGTGCGAGTAGCGACCTTAGCACGATCTAAGTCGATTTGAGTTAGTGGCTAACAGCAGAGTGGGTGAGGAGAAAAATGAGACAAGAAAAGACAATGGAGGGAAGACTCGCTACACTGCGAATGTGGATACATCCCAGGCGCCTCATAGAAGTAGACGAAGATCTCGTCCTAGATCTCATCGGATCATCCAAGGAAACGTACCAACAACGAGAACAGTGTTTGCAAAACATGGAGGACTTACGCGCCCCTCCACAATACATTCGAGGAGGAAAAGGAAGGAGTGTCAACATCCGTGTACAGCTCGAAACCCTAGATACCAGCCAGGTTCAAGCAACGGACGCCCTAGTTGACAGCGGGTGTACCGGAAGCTGTATAAACCGAACCTTCGTGCAAGAACACCGCATGAACATGGTAAAACTGCCAAAAGCCCAGGCAGTCTACAACGCCGACGGTAGTCGAAATAAGGGAGGAGACATCACAGAAATAGTGGAACTCCGGATGACCATTGGGGATCATCATGAGAAAATCAACTTAGCCGTCGTAGATCTAGGAAACATACCCCTATTCCTGGGACATGACTGGCTCAAGCGCCACAACCCCATTATTGACTGGAAAACGGGGGCAGTAACCCTAGCCCGATGCTCGTGCCACAAGGTACCCTTCCTTCTACCTGACGAAGATCCAGAACAATCCTGGGGAACGGAGGTAGAGGAAGGAGACACCATCCTCATAATAGACTTCGAAGAAGCCTTCCACATCCGCGCTATGGGAAGCAAAGCAAATGAGCTAGCCGCCAAAGCCAATCAAGCAAAAGAGGCGAAGACCTTCAAGGAAATAGTACCGGAACATTACCGGGAATTCCAAGATGTATTCGCAAAAGAAAACTTTGATGAGCTACCACCGCGGAAACCATGGGACCACGCTATCGAGCTCATCCCCAATGCCAATGCTAGCCTGGACTGTAAAGTCTATCCGCTTAACCCCATGGAGCAGGAGGAACTGGACAAGTTCCTTGATGAAAACCTGGAATCAGGAAGGATTAGACCCTCTAAATCCCCAATGGCATCTCCCTTTTTCTTTGTCAAGAAAAAGGATGGAAAGCTGCGACCCGTCCAAGATTATCGCAAGCTAAACGAGATGACCATTAAGAACCGTTATCCTCTCCCACTCATCAGAGAGTTAATGGATCAACTTAAAGATGCCAAATACTTCACCAAGTTAGACGTTCGATGGGGATACAATAATGTACGAATCAAGGCGGGAGACGAATGGAAAGCTGCCTTCCGAACGAACTGGGGGCTTTTCAAACCCATGGTGATGTTCTTCGGACTCACCAATTCGCCAGCCACCTTCCAATGGATGATGAATGACCTGTTCAAAGAGCAGATCGCCCAAGGGGATGTCACTGTGTACCTAGACGACATCCTAATCTGCACCAAGGATAAGGACAGACATCGCAAGGTCGTACAAGAAGTTCTGACCATCTTACGAGCCAATAATCTCTTTCTAAAAGCGGAGAAATGTGAATTCGAGGTATTGGAAACAGAATACCTCGGAGTAATCATCAGCCAAGGATCCGTTCGCATGGACCCCGTCAAGGTCAAAGGGATTATGGAGTGGCCCCAACCCACAAAGAAGCGAGAACTACAATCGTTTCTGGGGTTCACCAACTTCTACCGAAGATTCATACAGGATTACAGCAAGCATGTACGACCCCTTACCCAACTCACGGGGAAGACAGACTGGAAGTGGGGACCGACGCAGGAGAATGCCTTTCGGGAGATCAAGAGGAAGCTAGCCGAAGAAGTGGTATTGGCAATTCTGACCCGAACAGGGAAATACCGAGTGGAAGCGGATGCAAGTGAAGGAGCCATCGGGGCCGTACTATCCCAGGAACAGGAAGGAAAGTGGAGGCTGGTAGCATTTCTATCCAAGGCCTTAACAGTCACCGAACGAAACTATGAAATCTACGACAAAGAACTGTTGGCCATCATGTTAGCCCTCGAAGACTGGAGGCATTATCTGATGGGCGCTTATCAAGAATTCGAAATCTGGACAGATCACCAAAATCTTCAGTACTTTCGAAAACCCCAAAAGCTCAATCGCAGGCAGGCACGATGGGTAACCGAGTTAGCGGAATACCATTTTACGCTACATCATAAACCCGGAACGGCCAACAAGAAGGCCGACCTATTGTCTAGGAGGGCGGATCATGACCAGGGAGGAGAAGACAACCGAGAAGTAATAATGCTAAAACCGGAAGTGTTCCGAGCATTAATCATGCCAGGAGAAGAGGAGGTTCACAAGCGAATTCGAACCGTGCTAAGGGATACCACCAAGTGGGACAAGGGAATCGAAGCATCCCTTCACCATCCCCGAGGTATAACTCAAGAAGAGGGGTTAATGCATTATGATGGACGGCTATATGTGCCTCGAGACGCCAAATTACGAGGAGAACTGATCGCCATCCATCATGATCACATCACAGCTGGGCACCCCGGAATTGAGAAAACCAAGGAGCTCGTACAACGAGAATATTGGTGGCCAAAGCTCAAAAACGACGTAGAACGATACGTAAAAGGCTGCGAAGCCTGTCAATGCACCAAGACAAACACTCAACGTCGAAGAGCACCCCTACATCCTCATGCCGTACCCTCTCGACCATGGGAGCATATCACGGTCGATATGATAGGGGAACTACCAGATTCCAATGGGTACAACGCCATCCTCATGATTGTGGATCACTTCTCTAAAGAAGTAATTCCGATCCCATGCTCCACCGAGTTAACCTCAGCAGGGTGGGCCAAAATACTCAGAGATCACGTATGGGCCAAACACGGCATGCCCCAAAAGGTGATCTCTGACCGAGGACCTCAGTTTGTATCCAAATTCATGAAGGAACTATACGAGATGTTACAGATACAAGGAAATCCGTCCACGGCTTACCACCCCCAAACGGATGGACAGACAGAACGAGTGAACCAGGAGATTGAAAAATACCTCTGAATATTTATCAACCACAGACAAAACGATTGGAGCAAATGGTTGCCTCTCGCAGCCTTCCAGCACAATAACCGGAAGCATTCTGCAACCGGGTATTCTCCCTTTGAAATCAATCATGGACAAAAACCACATTTAGCCCCGATAGCAATCAAAGAAGGAACAAATCCAGCGGCCAGGGAATTCGTAGCGGACATACAAAAGGTACATGAACAAACGGCAAGGGCACTGGAAAAAGCAGCGGAAGTCATGAAGCGACAATATGACAAACATCAGCGAACGGCGATAGAGTACCAACCGGGAGACAAGGTCTGGTTGGACTCCACGAACCTACACCTTCCTCGACCAATGAAGAAGTTAGGGGACAAGCGCGTCGGACCGTTCGAAGTGATATCCAAACATGGCGCCTCCGCATACAAATTGCACCTTCCTTCCGCGTGGAAAATCCATGACTGCTTCAATGAAAATCTCCTCACTCCGTATCATCCACCGGAGTTCCCAATCCAAATACAGCCCATAGCTCCACTGCTGGATCTCATAGACGGACAAGAACAATACGAGGTAGAAGAAATAGTAGACCGAAGGGAAAGAGCCCAAGGGAGAGGAAGAAGACGAAGCACCGGAATCGAATACCTCGTAAAATGGAAAGGGTATCCGAGAGAGGAAAACTCCTGGGTAGACGAACAAGACTTGGACAACGCCAGGGATGCCATCGAAGACTTCGAACAAGTCTCGTTCATTACTCGACCACCCGCAGACTGGTGGGAGGAAAGTGATGAATCCGACTCCTGGTCAGAAACAGAGTCGGTAACCGAATCCGAAGTCGACCACCCTTTGGTACAGGCAATACAAGAATACCTGGTAAAACCAAACGCACCCTTGCTTGTAGGAGCTTATCTCCCAAAACCAAACTATGTTGCAGTCGGGACGACTGCCTTAACAAGGGGGTAATATTACGATTTCGCGCTTTATCTTATCTTATCGGCTCTCTCATAATCTCGCTATGCCAATTTTCTGGACTTGATCGCATTCTATCACGAGGGTTCAGTACGTTTACCGTACTGTTGCAGACACTTGTAGTATATTTAGCATGACCCAAACTGTATTTAAGTAGCTCGACTGCAGGTCTTAAACCTCAGTCTCGAACTAAAGTTTATTCACCCGATAACTTAGTCTGAACTCACTCTCGCTCAACTAAGCGATAGCTCCCTTAACGCAAACCTGCGGACAACACAAAGTGCCTGACCGAAGTGCGAGTCACGCTTAGTTGTTTGATCTTGTTTGTGAAATCGGTTGCTAACATATAGAAGACAGCTTGTTAACCGATGAATTAATTGCTGATTAGATATTGTTCAATTCCTTTGGGAAGACCGGCACTCTCGTCATGTGGTCATTTGTAATCTTGACACAGTAATCATCTCAACTCTATGTGTTATCCTCTCATCTGATGCCAATCCACAGATTTGCCATGGGTACAAATCAAGTATGTGGACAGTGGTATGCTGGCACCAGATACTATGCTGACTTGGACATAGATGATGACAGCCTCAAGGCAGGTAGAAAAGCTTTCACCTTCCGTCGCATTCACTCGCATTGACTGTCAGTATCAATTAAGATCTTTGCCTTCTCTCGAGACGGTGGTCTCCCGCTGTCCCGGTGGGTATACTACTGTCAATCCTCAAACTCGGATACCAACTCATGCCATCTGGTTTGGAACATGTTGGTCCCTCCTACTCGGATGTCTTGCATTCACTGGTAATAATACCATCGAGGCAGTCTTCTTACTCTCTGTGACTGCACAATATGTGTCATGTTGTATCCCGTTGTCAGCAAGGTTTCTTGGAGGCAAGAGAATCAAGCCAGGTCCTTTTCGACTAGGTCCTTTGGTCAGTCCTCCTGAGCTTACCCATTAAAGATGATTAATATATCTCCAGAGTCTCCCAATTACTGCGGTTGCCGTCGTTTGGATGATTTTCATGACTGTTCGTGTTCATGTTTCCTAGTACCCCTTCTCCTAGGGTAGGCAACATGAACTATGCTGTCGCAGTACAAAGTCGGTTACTTCCAATAAGATTACTGATTCATCACGTTAAGACAGACCTTGCAGGCGGTGTTCTGATCCTTGCAATCACTTATTTTTACTTTCCGAAATATGGCGGGATCAATTGGTTCACAGGACCGATATCAACACTCGAAATGCCTGCATTACAAGTTGAGAATGATGTAGTCGAAAAAGAGTAAGATGCTAGTGGATGTGGTCCGTTCCTTTCGCAGGGTTGTGTACGATGACTTTTTCTCTCTCTCTTGATTCGAAGTGGGTTCATGCTTGGATACTATACTGTACAGACAGACAGACAGACAGACTGGTTCCGGATATGTGTTACGCAATACGAGTCTGTTTTGTTCAGTTTGGGGTTCGAGGTTCGATGTGATGCGGGAAAAGACGAGAGTATCTGAGGGTGACGGGCGTTTTATTTTTATTTTTGGCAAAATAGCCAACAGTCAGACATATGGGTGTCGAGTGTTTACAAGGATTATTGCTACAGGGTGAGGTGATGACGCAGCTGAAGTACGCGTATACGTATATGAGAAAAGGGTGTAAAAAGGACAAGAATGCAGGTTCAAATTCGGGAGAGTAAACTCGCCGAGTGCCAAGATGTAATCAGATGAAATGGAGAACGAGGTATACAAGATGCCCGTCTCTCGAATTCCAAACCGAAGCGAGTGGTACGATGCAACAAGAAAAATTCAGTATAGAATGCGAGTATTAATTAATTGGTCATATCATCCCTCGATACCTTTTTCGACAAGGAGAACCCGACGGAGGACTTGCACCCAACTTTATCGAGCGTACGAAACTCATAGAAGTCCTTTGCCATCTCCGATAGCTCGTCATCGAGGGCAGCAAGACGCGGACCACCTTCAAGGGTGACGCTGTCGAGACAGTGCGCGGAGCTTTGGAGACAAGACTTGAGCATGTCGATCAAATCCTGAGCTGGGACTGAAACTCTGATCTTCAGGGTTTTCAGGTGGGGAACGAGGTTGGAGTGGCTGGGACTGGTCAGGGTAAGATGGCGAAGGAAGCTAGGCCTGGGGTGGCCTCTTCATCATAGGTATAGGTGTATTTTTCCAAGGTGTGCAATGAGGGTGTCAGGGACAATATCTCAAGGACAAAGTTGTCCGTTATACAGGTTTCGTCAAATATTAGGTGTTGAAGCTGCAGTGTGCGAGGTAGAGATAGGAATGATATAAGCTCTCTTCCTGGTGATATTGTGTGACCCGCGCCTTTGATTGTTAAGGAGACGACGTCTGGAAAGTGGAAGAAGGGAATGACATTAGGAGAAGCCATGGCGGCTATGACCAATGATTCGACTCCGTTGACGACTGTCGGGGTGGGAGTGGGGCCGGTGAAATCAACTAAGTGATTCCAGAGTTCCAGACGCCAGAGATTGCGGCATAATGGGAGGATGTGGGTGGCCCACGAGATGGAAGATTTGGAGAAGAGCTTGAGGTCAGTGATCTGTCCCAGGGGAGGGAGAAGTTGTTCTTTTTTGCCTTGTGAAGCTGAACCTCTACGGAGCGCAAAGCTGGGGCATTCATGGAAAAAGTCCCGGCGCTGGCGTCGAATTCGCTCCCAATACATTAGGGTGAGGTGCTCGAGATGAGGTAAAACTGGGGCAATTGCTCCATGAGGTGCGGGGAAGAACAGGGCCTTTGTGTTAAAGCTGGCTCGTTTTCATCGATGAGCTTCAGCGCAAAGGATTTGCATGAATTCGCTGTCGGGAATCAGGAACAATGTAGTCTGAGTCCTGGTCTTTATGGCCGTGGATGGTGAACGACAGGACGTGATTACCAGACCTGGTGAGGTAGAGATTGAGGCAGTCGATGCTCGCTTGTATGTGCGGCGGCTCATGGATGTATTCAAAGGTAGACCATAAAGCAGTATTGGAAAATAGGGCATTGCGCCAGTGCGAGCATACGTCTGTCAAATGCAGTGCGATGATCTCTTGAGGCCAGTTGAGGTAGCTGCCGGCTGCATCGAAAGGAGACTTGCAGGCATGAGCAAAGATTTCGGAGAGGCAGTCATATGGGAGACGCTGTATGGGAGAATTTGTGGTCATATTGTGATACCATGAGAGTACGCTAGTTGAAGGCAAAATCAGCACAGAGATTCAAATTAATGGCCATCTTTCTCTTACAAATTTTGGAAGACAGAGAAACAAAGGGAAGAATTTTAGGCAGGAGGATATTTCTTATAGTGGTTGTGGGGGTAAAGAAGCACGGAAGAGAAACTCAACCCTCCTCAAAACCTTTTTGGAAACCATTCAGGCTGAACACGTGATCGCGATGGCATAAAAGTGATTATGTCATCAGTTAGGAGCATGGTGGCTGTGTGATAGCCCTACCTCGGTCCAGGACCACCGTGTCTCTTTAACTTTCCATCTTCTAATTTTCCGTTATCGTCAGTGCGACGCGCAGGGCGAGTAGCCATGAGTTCTCTAGCCTTCTTGGTCACTGAGCTTCAGGTTTGTCCTTTACAATGTCAGGAAACTCCCATCTAATGTCTATGTTACAGTCTCTCGCCAGTGAGACGAGAAGGAAGCATCCAGATATCCGTGAGGTGCACATCTATACCAGTCTTGTTGGATACTGGAGGGACTAGCTGATGTGTACGATGGGAAGGCAGCAGAAAAATCTCTCGCAATATTACGAGCATCGCCGGAACAGGCGACGGCGAGCTTGGCTTCAGGTGCGCGTGGATATCTCTGGAAGTCTGGATATAGCTCATGGCACCGCAGATGGACCTCAATCGGATGACCTGCTGCGGCCTGTATTCATGGGATGCGCGACGAGGAATGCAAAGGTCGTCGCGATATCCTTAGGGTCGCTGCAGCGCCTGATAGCACTGAAAGCCGTACCACAATCTGCAGTGGCTCTCATCATAACGACAATGAGTGACGCTATCAGTCAAGGAGTCGACATCCAGCTTCGAATACTACAAACATTGCTGTCGCTCATTACCAACTTCCCTGCCGTGCACGGGCCAATGCTGGGTGACGTACGTATTCAGTTTGATTCTACTCGTGGCATTAAGCGACGTTTATGTAGGCGCTACTATTATGCTTCAAACTACAAGAATCAAAGATAGCGGTGGTATCATCCACGGCAGCAGCAACTCTCCGGCAGCTCGTGATGTTTGTCGTCGACAAAATGGTGGATGAAGATAGGAAAGACGACGTGCCCGCCGACCAGATGTCAGAAGTGAAGCTGCCGGACGGTACCACGAAGACTCTCGGCCCCTCTGCGCGCGACGCGTTTGCGGTGTTTGAGGATCTCTGTCTTCTCGCGAACGCGGAAAAGCCACATTTTCTCAAGTTGGATTTCCTTCACAAGACTTTTGCGCTGGAATTGATCGAAAGTGTACTCACAAATTATCATGACCTCTTCCGACGCCACGCAGAAATGACCCTTTTACTCCGTCACCACCTCTGCCCACTTCTCCTCAAGGCTATCTCGGAACGGCCGATATTCCCTCTAACACTTCGATGCACCCGAGTTATTTTTCTCCTTTTGAAACAATTTTCTCTGGAATTGCAAACCGAATCCGAAGTTTTTCTCATGCTATTCATCAGGATCATAACCGAGGATCCAGAAGCGCCTCAATGGATGCGTGTCCTCGCGATGGAGATAATGCGTGGGCTCTGCAGTGATGCCGAGCTTATGCGGAATGTCTGGGATCGTTATGACGCGCAAGGGGCGGGATCCAAAGTGTTCACCTCACTAGTATCAGCCCTAAATCGTCTGGTAACGGAGAAGCCAGCGTTACTGGGTGTAGGTACCCAAATGTCGGGCGTCGGGGTACATTCTGAGTCCGGGTCATTGTCTGCATCCAGCTCGGGTTATAGCTTGGATATGGGAGGCATGGCGGCCATCGCAAGCGCTACGGTGTCGGGCGTCGTCGGGATGATGGGTGCAAGTGGAGGCTTAAGTCTTCAAGGATCTGCAATGAAGCTGCAATGGTATGATTTGCATAAACTGTCGTCTGTCTTCTCGTGAACTTACTCTGTTTGGTTTCCAGCATCGATCAATTGGACAAGGCAGATTCTCCCCCGATACCAGAATCATACATCTACCTCTTAGGTATCCAATGCTTGGTATCACTCTGTGAAGGATTTGCGTCTTTTACCGGTCCACTTTACACCTCTATCGTCATACAAAAACCACGTGCAGCAGGAGAAGCTGTGAACCGGGCTCCTCCAGCCCTGGACCTGTCCACACTACCGCCAGATGATATCAATACCAAACATCTTCGCATCATTCGCGATATAATAGAGAGCGGGTGGCCTGCTTTGCTTGCGGCATTATCCTTCGTTATCTCTACCAACCTCTCCGACGAGCTGTTTGCAGACGTGCTGGCCAGCTACCAAGCAGTCACCAATGTATCTGGAATGCTGGGCTTGACAACTTCAAGGGACGCTTTCTTCACCAGTTTGTCCAAGTTTGCGGTTCCCTCGCGCGTTGTATTCAGCCTTGACACATACAACGATGTGCAGACGCCACGCTCGGCAACCGGGTCGTTATCCGAGAATCTAGGTTTCACGGGCCCTACTGGACCGCCGGGTCTGTCGGAGAGGAACTTGGCATGCCTAAAAGTGCTCCTCTCCAGCGCGATGTTTCTCGCAGGAAGTCTTGGCGGAAGTTGGTTCCAAATTCTGGAGGTGTTGCAGAACGCTGAGTATGTCTTGACATGGAAAGGTGGTCCACAGGGGACGCCGAGCAAAAGGCATCCCTTCGGACATTCGCAGGGCAGTCGATCAATGTCAGTGTCGGGAGTGCAGCCTCTACCACATCCTACTCCGCCTCGACATCCACTGCTTAGCGATTTGGATTCAGAGACACTGCAGAATGGCATCCAAAGGCTGTTCGATGCCTCTAAGAACTTGGACGATGTCGCGTTCAAGCATTTCATTGATGCGTTGTGCAGGTTAAGCGCAGAGATGGTTGATATGCAGTCCGACGGAGGAAACATCGTTTTGGAGACTGATAGCGTGGAAGAGCTGAGCAACGTTGGTTTGTCGCCAGTTCTCGATGCTTCTAGTCGAAGACGGGTGAGTGGAATTCATATACCTCGTTCGTTGGTAAGCATTCCATATGGTTCGATCATAGCCTGCGGTTGATTTATGCCCAATAGCGTTCCGGCGACTTTGGAATAGGGAAGCTGGGTGGTATTGCGAGACTCAATATCCATCGACTAATATATCGCTCTCCCGACGTTGCTTGGGATAAGACGACAAGCCACCTTTTGTCTATCATCCGACTCCAGTTTGCACCCCAAGCTATCCGCATACAAGCAGCACGCGTTCTTGACGACATCCTGGAGACTGTACCGCGGAATCTAAGCGCGACAGGCGAGCTGCAGGCACCAGTACAAAAACGCGTGCTCGACGTACTATCTCAACAAGTCATGCCCGATTACTCCACCCCGGCCTCTCATTCTTCGACTAGTGTGGAAATTCGGAAGATGGGTCTCGAGACCCTCCACCAGATTCTCCAATCATCGGGACATACGTTGGTGGTTGGCTGGGAGACAATCTTTACCATGCTTGGGAGCGTATGCAAACCCCCTCCGATAGGCAGGTCATCGTCCATAGATTCGGTGTCAGCGTTGAGTGCTACATCGTCGCCAACGGCGAGATCAAAACCCTTGCTACTAGGTTTGGGTACGCCGTCGGAGAAGAGTAATAACGCACTGATCAAGATCGCGTTTCAATCCCTAACGCTTGTTTGCGATTCCGTGACAGCCCTATCCCCCGATCATCTACGCCTGTGCATCAGTACACTCGGGCAGTTTGGCAGGCAGTCAGACACAAACATCGCGCTAACTGCCGCTGCTAGTCTCCTGTGGAGCGTTTCAGATGCTATACAGTCGAAACGGAAACACGCGGAGAAGGAACCGGAATACAGCGCGCTGTGGATGTTTCTCCTTCTCGAGGTGTTGGGGCTATGCACTGATCCTCGACCCGAAGTACGAGATGGTGCTATCCAGACCTTGTTCAGGACAATGCAGTTGTATGGCGGTACACTGAGCCTGGAAACATGGGACCAGTGCATCTGGAAGGTCACTTTCCCTCTGTTAGATTCTCTGTCGGAGGAGCTTAGGAGGCATTCGTCGGAGGAAGAGGGCGTTTCTTCTTCTGACCAGGCCTGGGACGCGTCCAAGATCCTTGCACTTCAATCCATTGGATCGATCTTCCACGACTTCCTGGCCTCAAAAATACTACACCTCGAGTCGCTCAAAGAAGCATGGAGTGTCTTTGTGAATCATATACAAGAGTCCGTGCTCATTGATCATCGGACGATTAGTGCGCCGGCACTACGATGCCTCGAGAAAGCCTTGAAGGCTTCATCATCTGCACCGTCTGCTGTCAAGGAACGTGTCTCTGAAGTATGGGAACGTGTTTGGCAGTCCATTGATGCTATCGGCGAGGCTATCTTGCGGAGAGGTGGATCCCAGTCGCCTCCTAAATCCTTCGCCGACGGAGGGCCCCCAAAGCCGTTCACGCAGGAGAGTTTGGTAGCTTTCGTTGATGTCATACAGTCCACACGTACTGTCAGCCGTGTAGTCAGTGGTACTGAATGGCCGTTAGATCGTATTACTAGGCTTATGGGGATCCTCAAAGGTGCGATCATGATTTTCCTTTTTTTTTTCGAGTGCTCAACGTGACACGCAGGCGTTTTGACCTACCCCAATTCCCCTGACTACAGACCAGACATTGATGCCCTTCCTCCGCTTCAGGTGGGTGGAGTATCACAACACTGACATTATTCATCTCACTTTCTTTCACAGTCTGTGGTGATGGAAACGATAAGCGCCATCGACCTGTCCATTACAGGATCTCCATCGCTCATCATGCGAGATCTGTCGGAGTTCGCCACTCTTGCCTTCCTTGCTGCTTTTGATGTGCAAATGAGCAGCGGGAGTCAGATACCCCAGAAGCGTATCACGTATATAGCACTGTCGAAGCGGACGATGCCGATGCTAGTTGATCTGTTCACCAAGTACAAGGACCTGGTCGCTATTTACGTTGACGGGACGCTCGAGGCTGTGCTATCTGTAAGTACTCGAGATCATACATCTAGTCGATGTTCTAATGATCCTGTTCCAGGCGTATTCCATACCTATTAAGCTAAAGTATGATTGCCCACCCGCATCAAAGTTTGGGAAAGATCTGCCGCTGTGGAAGACTGCTACCACGTGTTTCTTGCGGATCGTCAAAGAGCTCTCGCACCAAATCAATGCCCTGAGCTCAGGTAGATGTATCTTGTATCACTGGTGTGATTGTACTCTGACGGATCCCATATAGATATTCCTGATGAGCGTATCGAGGGCATTTGGAGACAAGTCATTGATGTCTTCCGAGGAGGGATCCTTGCTGACTGGTGGGTGGACTGATTTACCTGTCTTTACCTGTCTCTTCTCATTCTGTACAACTAGCTCTCCAGCAGAAGAGTTTCCTTTGGACGTCCAAGAAGCTGAAGAAAACTTTGACCTTGCACTTGTTGCTGCTCTCGAAATTGATGTGGTACCGCATTTCGGTGATCCCCGACTACCCGACTCGCTTGTTTCTCAGCTCGCGAAGATCCTCCACCGCGGAAGTTTGCTCTACGAATCGGACGTTGGACCTACATCGCCTCGCAGTCCGAGTCCAGAAGGTGCCGTGAAGACTGTATCACCAAACACTGCCGAATTCGTCAACGCTAATATTGGCCATGGCAGTACCGATTCGGGATTCTTGTTACCAAGAGAACGGTTCTCTTATTGGTGTTTTGATCTCCTCTTTTTGATATGTTCCAATACTACCAAAGGTGATTACTTTATGCCTTTTCAAGGACATTGATGACTCACTTGTGTCCAATCACAGATCAAGAGCGCTCTAGGAAGCGTCTCGCGGCACTCAGTATACCATCTCTTCTGAATCGGTGTCGAACAACGCTAGCCGGATACGTTGCAGATGAGGCACTTCGCGGAAACCTGCCTTTCCCAAGGTTTGTACCGCTTTTGTTGTCCGTTCAGATGATTGATGAGAATACAGAGCTCGCGAAGACGAACTGCTGTACGTGCTACGAAAGATGTTGGAGCTTAAGCTTTGGTCCGGGTCTTTGTGGGCGGCCCTATCAGAAGATCCCTCAAAGAATTGTGTCGATCAGCCTGGTATGTTTCCCGTAGCAACATCTGTCGAGTTGTGCTGATGTCGTCTACAGCTTTAGATGTATCCTTGACGCCATCATTGCTCATTGCAGATGCTGTTAAGCGCTCGTCAGTAGCACATCTATTTCATTTCTATGGAGTGCTGTGCGAGATTGCGTCGATACCCCGGAAAGCGCCCTCGTCTTGGACGATTTCCCCTACACCAACAGGTATGAATGGTAATGCGGAAAATGGTAACGAAGCAGTGCAGCTGGATGCTCGAGATCTGTCACGGCAGTGTTTGAAGGAGGTTGGTAAAGAGATGGGAGTGTCATATTGATGAATCTGCATTCATGTACTAATTTTACTTTCATGTTCATATAATGATAGGATGGATTTACACACAACTGTAACAATCTAGAGGTTAATGTTGAAGCTTCTTGGAACCTCTTTCGACTCTCCAAATCCAAAAGGTGAAGTATGGTGAAGCTCGATCCTTCTTCGCCATCCACTGAGCCACAATAGACTGTCACAACGATAAATTGATTGGCTATAAGCTGCTATAAATTCATGTCGAAGCTCAGTTTATGACAAAGCTATACGTGCAAGTAACAAACGACTGCTACAAAGAAGTCTTGAAACAGCTTCATGTGGTATCCAAAAACATGGTGCTCTTACCCACAAGTTTGTACAGGTCTTTTCCCCTGTGCCTTCAACTACAATTCCTCGTCATTGTAAAACAATTATAGTTCCCAGAGACTCGTACTCCATCCCAAAGCCCAGCTGTACTCTAAGGCACTCTGCGAACTAAGACAACTCAGCGACCGGCCGTGGAACATCTTCACTGATATCACCGTCCTTTGCGCCCAATACCTCCATCAAATCCTTCCTCCCAAACATATAAGCCGCCTCAATCGCCGTCGGTTTCCCCGCTCTTGGATCCGCTCCAGCATCTACCAGCACTTTCACCGTGTCTCCATGACCTTTAAACACCGCACCAGCAACTATACTCTGCCCACGATCGTTCAGACGGTTGGGATCAGCTCCAAGGGATATGAGCTCCTTGGCGAGGGCGTGGTGGCCTGCGTACGCGGCGAGCATGAGGAGGGTGTTTCCGTCAGGATTAGTGAGGTTGGGTGGTAATCCCGCGTTGATGGCTGGAACGAGGACGGAGGCGTCGCCGTTTCTGGCAGCGTCGAACATACGGTGGGCGAATTCGATGGTGGCAGAGGGAAGAGACATGATCTGAGGATGATGTCATCAGTCATGGGAGGGTATCCTTTTTGCTTCCGATCACGTGGGCGTTACCTCAGTGGGGACCCGAAAGATGCGAGAGCAAATCATCTTAGTCTGCTTAGTCTCACTCAATTATACGCATGACCAAAGACAGAAAAGAAATATTTCCTCATCTTCCCCACTCTCGATCAGCGTTCTTCCGTTACAGGATGGACCATTTTTGTATACACTACCTATTTACTGTACGTATTTTATAACTATGATATGATTGTACCATAATCCAACCAAATCCGAGTTGTCTGTTTTGCATGTAGCAAGTAAGAAAGCGAAGAGCAAGACGAGCGAGGAAGGGGTATGGTGTCCTAAAGCGATGGGAATATAGGTAAGTGGGTTATATGTAGTAATATAGACAGCGAAAAGCATTGAAGATATATATATAAAGAATCCTATACTCATCAACCTCCCTTTACGATGATACTCTCCAGACGGACGTACTCCCACACGATGCTCGCGTACCCCAAGAATGAATCAAAATCAGGGTCCGCCACCCTCGCAAGCCCAATCTGGGCCAGGTCCAAATCTGGCATCTGCTCCCCTGAGGGAGTAGACGCCGACGGCGGCGCGAGCGTAGCCATCTCGGGCGGGTAAACGATAGGCAACGCCGAAATCGGCGTCAGCGCCATCGTCCCCGTGGGCGTCGTAGGCGTCGAGATTATCGGCGTCTGGGAGTTCGGATACATATACGCGTTCACTCCTCCGTTTACAAAATAGCTCTCATCCTCCTCCTCCTCTTCCATGACGATCGACGTACCAAGGGTGGTGCCGCCCCGGAGGACATTCCGGATCGTCGGTACCTGTGTTTGTGGCCCGCCAGCACTGCTACTGACATTGGTCCGCGCCCAGACGCCGCCACTCTCGGTCCAGCGTCTAGCAAACACCTTCCGCGTGTCCTCTTCGAATGATGAGGCACCCACTGGAGGCGTGTAAGGCGAACCGGCTCTTGATCCAGCCCGATTCTCCTTCTCCTTCCCCCACACCCACTTCGCGACGAGCGCAACACCGACCGCCGCACGCCCAGGGAATCCACGAGCGGGGGCGTTCCGGTGGGGAGAGATTTGTGCCGAGTCAATCTGGGAGGTTCGTAAGCACAAGACCACGGCGCTAGCGTGAGAGAACAACATAACATACCTGGCTCAAGCACACATAAACGGGCTTCCCAAAGACATCGCACACCAAATTGGCTATGCTGGGAAAGTTTGTCGCCGCTCCAGTACAGAGAATGCGGGAAGGGAGGTGAGGGTACGATGTTTGGTACAGATCGAACGGTATCGGTGATGGAAGCTGCATTTGGCCGGGCGGCAATGGGGGCTTGGGCGGCAACTTGACCTCCCCGAACACTCCCAAGGCAACAGCACGACCCCACCGCACTCGCATTCCCATCACCTGTGACTCGACCAAACATCTGGGATTGGCGCGAAGGTCGCGGAACTCGTTGACCTTGATACCTGTTTCGAACCGGTGCACACCCTTGCTGTGTGTGAATGGAGGTGTATCTGGTTGTAAATGCCAGAAAGAGAACAGTTTATCGTCGAGGCTGTAGAGACAAGCTAGTCAGAACTAAAAACAATCCATGACGGAGACACCTCGGTGGGAGGGGACGGCGTTTTCCGTCTTCATTTTTCGTGTTCCAATCTTGAGATCTTAGAACGAAATGAAGAACACATGGCGTGTTTTCATTTCGTTCTTTGGAACAGAAAGACAATAAGTGCTGTCAAGGACCGGTTTCCTGTGTAAAAACACAGCTCCCATCGAGGTGCAGGTACTCACCCTATTGAACCACCTGGAGGCACGATGGCAACAAGCCTATCAAATGCGCTCCAGCTCTTAGTATACATATCACGCGCAAGCGCGCGCGATACGTCTCCATTTCTACAGGAACATCAGCGTTGCCAGAAGCAGGCGCTAAGCATGCGTACCGGCTGCTCAACATCACGATGTACTTTTTCTTGTCTCCAGGTTCTTGGTATGGATGAGGAACGATGTTGTATATCGGTGAAGGGATATACGTGTGGGCCCGGGCCATCAGTGTATCGGTTGGACCGAAAGAAAGAACAGCATCTGACTGGGATGGACAGAGAGAAACAAAGGTGGACAGCGTATCGGATGTGAAAGGAGTGAGAATGGTTTCTAGAAGGAACAAAAATAAGCCTCGCTCGCTGCAGAATAACGCGAATAAAAATACCAGGATCAAAGCCGTATCTGTCAACCAAATACCGCGACACGTATCCCGCCTTTCTACCGCCGCCGTTAACGTCGACATCACCCAGCCAACCACGGACCCGACGGCCCTCCTCCCTGCTCCCGCCGACAATATCCAGCACACCCTCGTCCCAGACGCCACTCTGCACATTCCACATCCCACTCAAGCATGCCTCAGCCTCGCCAATGCCCGCCCACTTGCCGCCGACCAGACTCTCCAAAAATTTACTCGCAACTTGCACCCTTCCCGTCCGTACCCAGACCTCCTTCGCCCACATTTCTCGTACTCGGAACATCTGCGCCGCGAGCATCGAGGCATTCCCCCCAGCACTGATCCCGACGCGTCGCGCCATCGCATCGGCCCCTCCAAGTGTGCTCTCAATCGCCAGCGCATGAGGGTGCGACGAGTTATCCTGCGACGTCGGCGTATGTGGTAACGAGAACGACGCTGCCGGGAAGTGCGCAGGCAGTGGTAACCCCGGATCCAAGGACGAAAGCGCAGGCAACGGCGTCGATTTCCACCATACGAGCGCCTGCTGCGCACAGCCTGATATTGCTTTGATGTCCTTGATTTTGTAGGACGAAGCTAGCTTTGCGAGTAGGATATCTGTAACACGTGAACAGCACAATTTGCTTCCGTTGGTGGTAATTCTTTTGGTGGAAGATGGACTGGATGCATACCTAGGGCCTTTACCCACATTTCTACTGGGGTTGTGTAGGCTTCGCCGGGCGTCGTGAATATGCCCCCCTGCGTCTGGTACTCGCTGAGTTCGGTGTCGAAGTCGACTCGCTCGACGCCAACCAACTCCTGCTTTTCATCGAGAATACATGCCCGTAGCTGGTCTGTCGCGAGCTCGAGCCCCAGGAAATGTGCGGCCATCGTGCTGTGTCGTGAAAGAGGCGGAGATGTACGTCGTTACTTTTTTTGCTGCTGCCGTGTGAAGCATGAAGAGAAGATTAGCTAAGCTTGATGGCCCATGGAATTCGCCGTAATAGCCGTTCTGTTGGGCCTGACTTGCCATCTTTGATCCTTCTGATCAACAGGCCTGCATCGTCTTGCGGCTGCTTCAGAGCCTTGTCGGAGCCCTTGCAGAGATGATAGTTAAACTACTCTTTTGATTCTTTTCTTCCCACAGTTTCTCCGTAACCAAAATACTCTCTTCCGTTGTTTACGAGAATTACGTGTAGAAGTTGATGAACCAGCGTGGCAACGTCTTCGGGAACAAATTCAAGCGGTCTGATAGATGGAGGATGGAGCATACCAACTTCCATCTTTATTGAATTCTCTAACGCCAGCTAAGCGCCTGCGGTCCTTTCGAGAGCCCATCCACGGTCTGGACCCTGCATTTAATTAAATGGATCAAGGGTACTTCAAAGGTGTGACTGCTTTACGATATTCCGCTCAGATTCGTGGCAAATACCTACACTCCGTCGAGTATTAGACAGAATCAACAACGGAACCAAAATCGACATACTGATTGCGGAAACCTTCGGTGATGAAACGTTGCTGGCCGAAGACTGAGAATTTCATAAGCCTTCATGAAGATCAGCCAAAATGAAATCGATTGTGCGTGTGGTGGCGGACGCCACTCGGCATGTAATATTGAGACGGTTAATCGAGGGAGGAATCTGCGTTGGACAGCATAAGAATGCGAAGAAGACGTGCTGAAATGTTGAGGGGCCTTAACAAATTTTAAATACAACCAATAAATACCGAAACTGATAGGTGGCAAAGCAGCCTGTTGAAGTGTAGGAAGAAAGGAGAGAGGAAGACAGAGGAAAGTAGAGGAAAGGGGGAATACAGTAAAGATGGTCCGTTGGATGATCAAATCCTTCGACTTCGCATTGCCTGCTTGGAATAGAACGCGCATCTACGATTTTGGGATGCTTGGAGGATCTAGAAATACAATCAGCCTTCATTTCGAATGCACATAGTTAGGTTATCCGGCGGCTAGAAACACTGGGGTGGCGATCAATGATCACCCCTTTGCCCTGCATCGGCACCCATGATTTGGCGGATGTCAGTGGAACACGATTAGTAGGCTCGTAATTGGAACGCAGCCACGGAAAAGCGCGAGTTGGCAATGAAGAGAAAAGCGTCAACAACCCTTGCGGTGGCAGTGCATGAGCCTAACCATGAACAGCCCGATACAGTTACAGTTATAGTCAAAGAGGCTGAATCTCGATCAAAATGATCGCACAACAGATCAGTCTAACGAAAACAAAAGTTAGGGGACATCTTTATCACTATTATATAGAGAAAACAGACCTGAATATAGAGAATCCAGGAACGTACTAGGCGAGATATTCCATCTATCCTCAAGTTGGTCGTGTTCCAACCTTCCCAAGGCGACCGCGGCAGTTCGGTTAGAACGGCATCGATGGTGCTCAACGGCAGGGGTGGAAGATACATACAAAGACAGTCCTCTGGGAAACAGTGCCAATTGGATGTCCAGAATTGTGCAGCTAAGAACTCACTCAGAGTCGGGACGAAGTAATACCCGTTAAACAGGAAGGTGCGACATTTGAGGAAAACTAGCACAACGCTCGAGCAAACAGCATGCACAGAAAAGGGATGGTAGCTTTTGCAGAGAAATGAAGACTAGATTGGAAGAACAAAGTCAAGGTTGGACGCACCAGCAGCAACTCTGCCAAGATATGAATATATATGCGCCTGGAATTCTTGGAGAAGGTTTTAAGCAAGTTTGCATGATAATCGAGGCAGGATTTTCACCAGTATATGTCTAATGAGGGTATAAGAGAGGAAAAGATGAAGGAAAGACCGCATACATTCACAGTTTCAAAGGCAGTTCGTCAATGCCGCGCTCGCCCGGGATTGGTCACAACTTTCTAGGTTCTAATGGGTACCAGAGAAGGGCACGAGCGGTAGGAAATCTAGCGTTATGCTTTCTTCATGCTTCATGTTCGAATAGCTTGCCAAAGAGGTCGCCTTTGGCGTAGTCATTGTAGTACAGGTCGAAGGAAAGGAATTACTTGAATGGATCGGGCCGGCGGCACAAGGGGACCTCGTGATCGAATTTCCACGCCACAGACGCGACGCGTCCGCCGGTCCCAGATCTGAGTTGTCGTGTAATACTCCAATTTGCCTGCTTAGATCCGCCCCTAAAAACCAGTCTTTCTTATACGTACGGCGACATACCTTTTGCAAAAGACGTAAGAGCGGGATTCGGTCGAATATTGCCAGGATAGCCTTCACGAGAAAAACTCCCTTGGTCAGACTTCCAACTATCTTCATAGCTTTGGCCTTTGACGCAAATGAAGCGCGGAAAGACAGTTCCCCAACAGAGGTATGATTAGAGGAGTTGTGCAGGATGTAGAAGGTAAAAGTTGCCCGAGGTTGCATTGAAGTGCGTACATCTCCGATAGTGTCGACTTTAATGGAACACTCTGCAATCCATCCTGATCTGAATGGATCGCTTTTCAGTGTGTGCTGGCCGGCCTCTTTGATAAACGGAACGGAGGAGGACTTGACTTGCAGCGATGGGAACGAGAACCATTCGTCGGGTTGACCCTTTTCCAAGAACATCTGGCCAGCGAAAACTGGAGGTCAAAGCACTATTGACGGTGAAAACGAACCAGTTGTATGAACATTATCTCCCTGAGAGATTACGTCGATGCTTCATGAGCATTCGCATCGACATCATAAGTCCATGTAGAAGGGGGTATTGAGGTGACTTTCGCATTCGCGTTATGCCTACACAGTGCTGTTGCTATGGGTCGGGAGAAATTGTGCTTGAAACGCGTTTGGCACGCCTGTGAGTGTGTGGCGGAGACGATTGGTTTCCGTCCTTCAATCCTGACTCGGTTAGTCGCGTTATTGGTGAAAGGCTTGGACTAGATTTTCATGAAGACGAACGGCGAAGATATATTCCGAACGAAAACAGGAAAAAAATTTTCAAACAGACGAAGGCGCATGCCTGTAACAAATGAGGGATGATATTCAGAATGCGCAAGACGGCATCGGAGGCGCTACCAGAGACCTTGATACATGATGTACATAACGCAATGTAAGTTGAGTCTCGAGTCTGCAGCGGCCATCGGTAATCGGCGATTAAACACTAAAAACCGGTCGTGGACTTGCGCTGTGAACATAACGACTGAAGACAATATAAATACCTGCGAATTGCCAACGGAAATTAACATGCAGAAGGCTCTGAGTTCTTATTCGAAGGCGCCCGATCCAACAGAGTCAAACGCATGACCCTGTTCACCACCGAAGCTCCCTGAGGACAAGCGCCACGCCCGACCTCTTCCATCTTCCTTTCCCATTGAGGATACACCAGAGGGTCAGTAAACTGCTCGAGCAGGTAACGAACCTCCATATCAAGTATTTCGGGGTACCTAAGCGCAATTATTAGAGGCGCCAATACACACGAATTGCACATACTTGTGAGTGAACTTGGAGAAGACCTCGGCGATGATGTTACTCGGTGTCAATTGCGAACGAATATTTTCGAATGCCAATTGTTTAAGGGTATCGAGATCTGCCTGATAGGAAGTCAGTAGAAATCGTATTTTTGAAACAGAGATTTCCCACCTTTACAGCCAAGCGATACATCGACTTTGGTGAGCATGCATCTTTGACGGTCCTCGGAGTCCCATTTGACTTTAGAGGTGCGAAGGATATTTCTTGAGTGTATAGATATGCCAGGAGAGCTTTCCAGCTAGGAGACATGATCAGACCTCATCACGACCTCGAGGAAAGCAGCTCACGTCGTATATGCGGTATCCTTAACATGCCAGATGGTTCCCAAACGGATTGATCCTCGCACGCTCGTTCCACGGATGTCGTCCCCGCCCGAAAACAGCGATGACGGTCTATCAGAAGACTCGGATACGTCTTCTGTTGTTGGTAGCGCCGTGTCAACATCCAAAGGAGATACTAGCGCAGTTCGCGCCACCGGCGGTGACACCGATGGGAACGGCACCGGCGACTCTGTTGGGGTTGATGGAGAATGATTGGACGAAAACGACTCCTCATATGCTGGTTCGAAGGTGTCGAAATCAAAATCTAATCATGAGTGAATGTGAATATGAATTAGTCCATACTTGTGCTGCAAGTGGAACAAAAAATCACCTGTCGTAGGGGCCGTCGTGACATCAATATCCACTGTATCAAGATTGGTATCATCCTCATCAAAATCACTATCTGCGTCATAATCGTACGCATCCCACGCCGTATCTTCATGGTCATCGGAATCCAGATCAACCAACGTTGCACCCGTATTTATGTCTGAGAGCATCAGATATCAGCAACTGTACGAGTTTTCAGAATTTCGCGCTTACATTTATCTAGGTAAGCTGAGTATCCCTCCACCAGAACACTGCTCGCGAAGATCGCCCTCGGGAAGCTGATACGTCCACGAGGCGACATGCGCGTATGCACCATGAATTTGAGGTCAATGGGAAGTTTACCGTCATTGTCGAGAGTAGACTTCATAGCCTTTAAAACTCTTGACCAATACGTAAGAACGGGATCCGCTCGAGTAATCTGAGGGAGAGGCTCCTCAGGGGGGACAATGTCTGGTAGAGTCATCTCGGGGGAAGCAATATCTGGAAGAGCGACCTCGGGGAAAGCGATGTCCGGAGGAGTGGGCTCGGGGAAAACGATGTCTGGAAGTGTGATCTCAGGGGCAACATCGGCCGGGATAGCAACCTCCGGGGGAACAATATCTGGGGGAGAGACTTGGCGGAAGCAGCATCTGGGGGAACAACTTTCGGAACAGCGATAGGGGGGGCAGCGTCGTCTGGGAAAGTGACCATGATTTTGACAGCCAGTCTTGACTTGCCCCGAAATTCGGATTCTCCTAGGATAAACGTTCCGAGTATGGTTTTTTTGGCAGTCCGAGCTTTGACTTTCTTTGTCTGCTCGGGCTTCGATTCGACCGACACACGCCAGGAAAGGTTAGGAGGTAGGACCGGTGTCGAGCGACTCGAGCCTGGCACAACGTACAAACTACAAGTCGCCTGCAATTTTTGGGGGGGATTTTTGCTGCCAGTAGCTTGGATCTGAACGATGCACTGTGCGGTCCACCCCGGTCCAAACGGCTCGCTCTGTAGTGTATGCTTTCCGACTTCTCTGATGACCGGAAGGGAGAAGCACGATTTGACTTGACGCGCTGAGATCCACTCGTCAGGGCGTGTTTTGGTCAGGAGCATATCGCTGGTGGAGACGGGGTCGAAGCGGGTTCGGATGAAGCTAGCCTTTATATACGTGCAGCTTCTCCATCAGAAACCATGCGGCTGCCGCATGTGTATTCATTTTAGTGGTATTACATGATGGTGGCGGGAGTTAGACGTGCATATAGAGCAAGGCATACCCGGAGCGGCACAAGCTAACAATACAGGTATGCAAGGTCTAATATTCAAGGTTATCAGTTCATAGCGTACATTAGAGGATAAACGGGCTTTACAGCACAAGAGTAACCCCATTGCCGGGCATAGCATCACTCCGGGGTGTGACCATCACAACAGTATCTTCCTCGTCTTTGAAGTACCTACCTGAAATTCATTTGGAAGGAGTACCAAGATCGCATGGAGCGGACATGTAACTTTCGGAGAGGCGTTCCCAGTCACTGAAATGCGTTTTATAAGAGAGCAATGGTAAGCACGTCGATGATATAATAGTAATACTTAGTACAAAAGTCCGCGATTGAATAACACTGCGAAACAAGAGCTCTGAGCAGAGCGCAGAAATAGAGACCGAAGTCACGTACCCCGCCTTAGCTCACCAAGGTTGCCCTGGGTGGAGTCCAGCCCTGCCCGAATCGTGCCTTCAAAACAGTCCAACATTTCTGCCTACCCTTGGTGTCAAACACGATTGTTTCGCATGTTTGTCGTTCGAGAATCCCCACCAGTCCCATAAATTCCACGCGTCATGCATGCGCTGCCTATCTGAAGGACTGGCAAGAAGATACCGATAGCTTTTACAAATGTTGAGGTCGACCGTGAGGACCCGGGACGGAAAAAGAAGAAAAAGAGCATTGGCAATTGTCTGATCGTCACCGACAAAGATGCCTTGCGAGATATAATTATCGTGGTACCGATAGAACATTCTCTGCCACCAGTCTAGTGCCTGTAAGGAACCGCCGAAGAACGAACCTGTGTGCATATTAGTTTACATAAATCCCGAAGAAGGGTAGAAACGAAGACCGACTCCGGCTGAAATCATTGTCTATGGGTCCGAGTTGGTCCCCCCAGTATTTCATGGTTGTATGAGGAAGCGCATGGATGGGAAAGAAAATGCGGTCACGACTTTCCTGCCCGGTTGCCAAGACTTCTTGGGTGGTCGTGGCGTTGGGCCAAGCAATATTACCATGACCAGTCTCCCAGCTCCCCACGTCCGTCCAAAACGCATAATCATACTCTGCGCTAAAAATTTTCATCGCCTCGTAGACAAAGAACGGTTTGCCATTTCGCATCGCGTACAGTTCTGCTGGAATGCTCTCCTGGTCGGCGGTCCAAGCCCTGCATTTCAACATATTTGTCGATACGGCCACGTAGAGGGGGGATGCTGAAGGGGGAGGTATATGTGGTGTTAACAATGATAGCCGAGAGCCTCTGAGGTCCCGCACGATTTCCTCCGCGCCCGGAGAGGTAAAGAGGTAGATATCAGTGGTTATTTGACCCAAAAAACCGGAGAGCCATTGCCTGTACTCGGAGGCACTGTGACTGGATGTGGAAATGGGATAGAAGGCCGATACCAAAAGGACTTTGGGCAGCGATGTCGAGTTTGTCGAATTCAATGCGGGTCCGTGAACGGCAATGGTGGATTCTTGGAACACGGCGAAATTGTATAACGCAAATAA